CATTTACTTCAGCCCTCGCCCACGGTCTGTAACCACTCACGAGCCTGACTACGACCCAATCAAATTAGAAGAGCGTTCAAAGTATCAGCGTCGTTGCCGCAAATACACTCGTCTATTTCTTAAAACCTACGTGAATTGAAGAATATACTGGCTCGAATCATAAATAAAAAACTTTCGACGTCGTGATAAATTTTATTGATTGTAAGAGTAAATTTGATACATGTTTACTTCCTCTGAACGCTTTCTCTAAACTCGATCGAGTCAAGTCCCGCATAGTAATTTATTTTCCATCCTTTATATAATTAAGCATCCTTTCCTTTCAAACAGAAATTCGTGATATTTATTATTTATGACTCAATTATTACTCATCACACCCTCTTTATCGCACCACTGCTTTTGCAGCTTTTGGTTAATCCTCAATTCGTGACATGACTTTTTTATCATCTAGGATAACACCGGTCTGGAGTATTAATTTTTCAGAACTCGCTAACAGAAAAGTAATCGAAAACTTTGGCTTTAATCCTAAACTTTTTGCGCGTTCTTAATGAGTGAAAACAAAACAAATTTGAAAAGAAGAGAACGATACTTTTCCAAAAAAATGAAATTGTTTAATAAAAGATTTAATAAATATTCCGACATGCACTTGTATTTTTAGATATGTTAATTGGGTAGCGTCAAATTAATTGAATAAATGAAGTTATTAGTTGAACAGTTCATTAATTTGGAAATAATGAAAAGATAATCGGAGAAAGGATTGACTTAGACTGATAAGTCATTCTATGATTTCAAACCAGAGATTCTTCATGAATACAAGTCAATATAAATTCATGTTATCCACGTGGAAATTTTGCGCTCGCGCGAATGAATATTTTTTCCATTCATCGTACACCGTACGTTCTTCGCGGTAATCGGCCCGCCGGATCGTAAATTAGTAAATGGATCCTGCAATTTTAACACGCGCTCCGTGCCCGTCCGCGGATATTATTCCCTCCACATATTTTTTTTCGACCGACGACGGACGCGACGTTGCGTTAACTGTAAAAACGCGGAAAAAAAATTCGAAGTCGCAGGGAAATTCGACCAAATGTAACTCGTGCTCGTCGGTGATTATTCCGTGATGTCCGTAATGTCACGGAATAATGAAATACATTCGCGAATACAAATGACGAGTGAACATATATAGGAAAACTTAACGGTAATGTTTTTATGATACCCAAATGTCTTCTCGAAATTAATGTCAAACAAGCATAAATTACAGTAATAAATTGAACTAAACAGATATATGAATAATTCCAGTTTCCACCAATGTATAGATTAATATCAATTTAACAATGATGATATGGGTGAGAAATTCTCTATTTCGGGATATTTTTTGGTATATAAGCAAAAAAGGATTTTTTTTTTAATTTTACAGTTTGGTACTCCCAAATTGGAAGACTCAAATAAATTAAATTTAACTTACTTTTTATCTTTTTCTAATTTTTAGAATTAGAAAAAGATGAATATGTTGAACAAAGATTAAAGTTAATCTACATTGGTGAAAACGGACATAAAAATCAAATAACTAAAGAAGTGCCAAATACGATCGATGCTGGATCTTGGTGTCTAACAATATTTCTATATAAATTTTCCACCCACAATGTTGAAATTCAAAGGTACAGTAATTATCTGATTCAATAAGAAAAATACAATCCAATTTCTATGATAATTAAAATTCGCACGCGTGCGTTGTTGAAGCTTTCACAAGTGTGTAAAAATTTTTTCAAATTTTTATACAGTTCGGAACAATATAAAAATCTGCAGTGAAGTTTAAAGACTCAGGTTGCATTTTAAGTTTGACAATAATCGGTTTAATAACTACATTAATATATGTAAAGTAAAGATGTATATTTAAAATTTACATAGAAATGTTATTAGGTGTCAAAATCCAATCTCTATCGTATTTAGTTTCTTTTGATTTGATTTATAAATTGCAATGTTACGAGATATTGCCTAAACTCAAAATTGCCGTAATATAATTCAGAAATAAAAATTTTAATAGATTATTTTCGATTGTTGAATTTAATTAATTTTTACTGAAAAACTCAATTTTTATCTGTACGTTGTACTCTCGGCCAAAGATTAAAACGCACAAGCCGCAGCTTCATACGGTATCGCGGATATGATCACTTCCAGACGGAGCGTGATTAATCGGTTCGTCGTGTGTACATATCCCCCTTTCGGACTGTAGCAATTTCTTCCATTCATTAGAGCACCCCAGTGGGCAGCATGCCACACGCAAACGTCGCGGCTGAGATAACCGGAAATGGCGTTTCGCGCGGGATTGCGGCTTGTTTACACGTTCTCGTTAACCCGGAGATCCCTTGCGGGAGTCTTAAATCGTAGAGGAACTTCCATGCCGCGTGTAAATCGAATTAACAGTAAAACGAAGACTCGTTTCATTAAACTCCATTATCGGAGACAAGTTACCGAATGAAATTCTGATTTATCGCTATCGAATCCGATCGTCCAACAATAATCCATTTATCTATCGCTATTGAATTGTTAAAAATACATTCTTTTTCAAATTTAATTAATATAAATATGTGGACTCCATTGGAGCTGATATTAAAATTATTTATTTTGTAACATTAATGCTTATTAATTAATAAATATCTATAATACAGTTATTGACGCTGAGTCTGAGACCTATTTAATTTATGTTAACTGAAAGGCACTAATTAATTTCAAGAAATCAAAATGACATAACTCATACAGAAATGAATATGTGTGTGAATACTAATTTTATTTTAATAACAATTTGCAGATATAACAATAAAGAATATAATTGAGTGAGTTCAATCCACCGTCAGCTCCGAAAAGATAATTGAAAGGATCTACTAGATCCACCGTCAGCTTCGGAGGGTTAATAAACATTTCTTAATTATACATTTAGAAATTGATTTACAAATATTTCAAACAAAAATCACAACAATTGATGAAAATAAGCAATATTTGCAGGTTTTTTTCAATCGCGTCCAGTCATCTCGTACATCCAAGCGAAATTATTCCGCTGGAAATGCGAAGATCCAGCTCGTCAACACGATTTTTCAGAGATCGGTTTTACATGCTGAATTATCGGCGATTTCAGAGTTCGCGATCTCTGAGGCAAAATCGTCGCGCAGTCACACAATTTTAGCTTCTTCTTTTTCTGCTTCTCTCTTCTCTCGTCCTTATCGCACACATGCCTCGTCGCGATGAACTGCCGCGTCAGCCGGCGTGCGTACTACGGCTCGTAGTAGGCCGTAGTACCGATCTCCCTCTTCGTCCTTCTCCGGCCGTTCATTCATGAACGGCGGAGCGAGGCCAGAACTTTTCGCGCCGTCAACCCAACTCATCCCGCTGATGGAAATCGACGTGGAGGCTCGGGACAAAGAGTGCTATGCTCCGCGCCTATCTCGTCGAGTATCCTCAAGATAACGCGCGTGTACGCGCACAGAGAGTGCAAAGGGAATAACATAGCGCGTGCGCGCGAGGTACTGTCGAACGATATCCGAAATACTCGGAGGCGAAAGAGCGAACTGAAGAAGGGTTATTTTCTCGTTTTGCCCTTGCATCGAAAAATTCGTGGCGAAAAAGACGGAAACAAGCGAAGCCGCGCTTTCCCTCCCGGATTTTCGATACCGTTCACAGAGTACCGCGCACAACGTGTATATCCGATGAAACTAAACATGTAGATACACCGTGTATTGTACTTACTAATAATATACAGAGTGTCCCAGAATGTGCGTGACACCTTAATTGCAGATTCCTGAGATCACTTCGAAACGGAAATCCTAATACCAAAATACCGAGGCTACAATATTATAATTTTTAAATGAGAAAAGTTTAAAGTTAATCAACTGTTCAAAATTCGCACGCTCAAGCATAATACGTTGTACAGTAGTGAAGGTGTTTAGAAGAGAATAGAATTGACGCTTGAAAACATTCTTCACTATTGTGCAATGTGTTATACCTTCACTGAAAAAAAGATTGGCTGCTGCAGCAAATTAGATGGTAAAATATGGCATAGTATTTTTAATTGGCTGTAGCAGCCAATTTTTGGTTGCTTTAGCCTATCTGCAATGTCAGTATAGGATTTCGATAGACTAACACAACTAAAAATTGACTGCTGCAACCAATTAAAAATGCTATGCCATATTTTACCATCTAATTTGCTGCAGCAGCCAATCTTTTTTTTCAGTGTAGTGATCCTCTAATAAAAGTCTAGACATGAGCCGCAGTTTTGTATATGCAGGGTAATAGTTTTAACAAAAATCTGTGAGAGAGGAAGACATACATTTACTATTTCTTTCTCTTTCTCATTTTGTTCTATCTTTTTCTTATTTATTTCTCTCTCAGGAATTGTTAAAACATTGCTGATCAGTTAAAATGGCTTTCTCATGTCCAGACTTTTAGGCTCGATTGCAATAACGTTATTTGGACTTTAAACGAGGCTTAAAACTTTCTTCATCTCGGCTTTAAAAAGAGAAAATACGTGTTTTAAACCTCGCTTAAAGTCAAAGTAACATTGGTGTAATCGGGTCTTAGTAGAGGATTTCTAGTCGTGCCCGAGCACGCAAATTTTGGATAGTTCAATTTACTAAGTTTAAATTTTTCTCATTTAAAAACTACTATAGCCTTGATACATACTGGTATTAGAATTTTCATTTCGAAATAATCTCAAGAATTTGCTATTAACGAGAAGTCTGAGATACCCCGTGTATCTTTGATGTATCGAAAATCCTATGTATATGCGAAAATCCTTGATCTCGCTGTTCCCACCATTTCCCGTTGTTTCATTTCACGAGCGTTTTATGTTTATTGAAGAGTCTGTGTTTAAAATATCATGTATACCCTACGTGTAATAGAATTTAAACAACCATCGGGCGAATCTGCGTATCTCGCGGGATACCTGCCGTTCCATTAACTCGGTCGTGGCAAAACTCACCCTAAGAAAACACTGTACTGCGTCTTCGCAGGCAATAGTGGTGGCGGCGACGGCACGCCGTTAAATGGCGCCGTTAATTCCGAGCTTCGTTGGTCGTCCGGCGCCCTGGAAATCCGTGAGACCACGACGGCGGGTAAACACGTCGTCGCAACCGCGGAAATACATCCGGGTGATATTCTGTTAGTCGAGCCGCCGCTGGCGGGCTGTCTCCTGCCCGAGTTCTACGGCACCCATTGTCAGCATTGTTACGCAAGGTGAGGAGAAAATTGTCGTCGGGTTCTCTCATCCGGGTGTGTCCCCTCTTCTCCTGCCGGATTTAATGGACGCGAGCCTTGGGCGACACGTAATCCGCCGTGTGTAGCTTCTGCTTTGTTATGTACGTGGCAAGCCCTTCTTCCTCCGTTTGCCTCCCCTCCCCCTACCGTTATCCGCAGCTTTTTACCGGATAAACCCGCGACGGCGAGAGAGAGAAAATGGATTTCATTAACCCGAGCGACGCTCAGGCGAAGCGCGCGACGAACGACGTATGTGGCCGGGAAAAACTTGTTATTACTCAAAGATAAAAAAGCCGCGTGCGTTGACTGAGCCGCGAAAAATTTCATAATGGCACGCATGTTTAAAGGCGACGTTCAAAGTCAATCGAATTAACGAACGCGAACAAACATAAACGAACGAGTTTGTTTCAATGAATGCGGTCGCGCCAGTAAACCAATAATGAATCCAGTTTTAAAGACATCAAGAATTGATTTTCTAAACGTTACACAGAGAAAAATGCGAAGTAATGTGTGCTAGAATTCTAGTAAATCTTATGGAATTGGCAGGTCCATGTACACATATTGACAAAATTCTAAATTTTAATAAATATTTGTTTGAACGGTTCTAAGTAAATATTTACTGAATGAAAAAGTATATATTTATTTGATACAAAAACCATTAATTTAATTATCTTTTTTTTTATTGAGTAAATATTTATTTACTATAAGTAAATTTACTTAATACTATTCAAAGAAATATACAAGGTGTTTGGAAAGTAATGAAAAATCTTTCATAGGGGCAGAATGGACTAAACTGAGAAGAAAAGTCCTTTACCATTTTACAATTTTCGCAATAATTAACAAGATATTAATTACTAAAAATTGTCGAAAATTGGTCTTCAATAATTTTTTACTCAAATACTATCAACTTTACAGAAAAAAGAGACAAAATTGTTTATTTTCTTCTCATAAAGCTCTGAAAAAAGAATTTTTTCAGAATTTTTTATCAACTTTTTAGTACTGCATTTTCTTATTTTTACCAACATGAGAAAATACGGTATTAAAAAATTCTGAAAAAATTCTCAGAATCTTATGAGAAGAAAATAAACAAATTTTGTCTCTTACAGTTTTTCTATAAGGTTAATAGTATTTGAGTAAAAAATTATTGAAGACCAATTTTCGACAATTTTGAGTAATTAATATCTTATTAACTATTGCGAAAATTGTAAAATGGTACAGGATTTTTCTTCTCAGTTTATCCCATTCTGCCCCTATGCGAAAGATTTTTCATTACTTTCCATACACCCTGTATATTAAAATTTAATAAATGTTTTTTCAGTGTACAGACAAGAGCGCCTACTTATATAAAATTTACTTTACTTTCTAGTAAATATGAGCGATCGTTGTGTATACCTATATACTGTAAGATACTTTTTATTTATTTCGTAAAGTAAATTTTATGCTACTACAATTTGATACTATTTCTTAATCTATAATATAAATTACACACTTAGTAGAATTTACTTTATTGATGAGATTTCTTGTTTAACGCTGACAAAATTTACTTTATCACGTGATAAAAAATATAAGTATATATCTTGAGAGTTGTTCGTGCTTGCAGTTCTGAAAATAATATGATTTATTTTATTATGAGATAATCACTTGAATGGATTTTATAATTGTAATGTACTTTTTACTTTACATCTCCGGTATTTTTTACTTTCAGGTAAAGTTACTTTCAAGTAAAGTTTGTCATAAATTCGAAAAAAATAGCTAGAATATTTTAATAGACTTGTAAGACTATCCATTTTTCTCCGTGTAATTAAATGTTTTTCATAAATCTATTATTTGTATAAATTCAGTTCATTTTGTAAATTAACTTCTGGATTCACGACGTTTTACAAAGTGATTTGAATTCGTGAAATCATTCGTTATATTTGAAATCTATTACTCGAGATTGTTGATCGATTTAAATTTACCTGGATTGAATCTTACCCTTGCACGACGATAGATTCCCTCGGCTTTTATTCGTCAATTTACATAATTCGCTTTCTCTGTACTAACCTTGTTTTCCTTTGGATCGATTTACGAATATTCGGGCAATTTTTATAGACTAAGAGCGCCGGTCGGGTGCCCGAACTGCAGTTGCGTTGCCTTTTGTGGAAAGAAATGCAGGGAAGTCGCGATGGCGACGTACCATAAGTACGAGTGCAAAGTCCTGGCGTTGCTGATAGGTAAGAGCATGAATGGACAATGTCAGTATAATGTATACAGCATTCGATAACGAATGTAGTTTCAGCGGACATTGCAATAACAGACGTAATTTTAGTTTCCCTGCCTGCCTAAACTTAAACGGATTTAAACTTCTGTTATAAGTTCACGCGACGTTTGAGATTTTAAGATTAGTGATTATCACATTTTTCATAAAAATATTCTAAAAAATAAAGTCTATCGGAGATTTGCTGAAATTTTTTAAATCCAGTATAAATAAAAGTTATTATTGATGTCTCAATCAATGTGGTTTTTTTCCTAATAAAACATATAAGTTTCTTAAAAGGAGTATCATAAGTTTATTGAACGCATTTGATACGGCAATTAATAGTATTCGCAATGTGACAATTAAAGAAATAATAAATGATATTAAGATTAGAAACAGGATCGTTTATATGAATAAATCAACTAAATACAAAGAATTAGCGCCAATTACGGTTAAATTAAATATTAAATTAATACATTTATATGTATTTTTTTCAATAAAAAAATTTATCTCAGAAATAATAAATTCATGAAATAATATTTTTCGCAATACGTTCGTTATAGGTTTTAAGATAGCTATTAGCATAAAATCAAAGATGTAATTAAATTTGGGGGTATTATTAATATTTTAAATCGATTGTATTATATATATAAAAGACCGAAACTAATCGGCGCGTAGTCATTTCTGAGATAAAATTTAAAAATACATATATATGTATTATATATAGTCTATCTAACTTTGACCGTAATTGGTGCTTCTTTGTATTTAGTTAAATAATAAACGTCATCATAGTCATCGAGATAATTTTCTCGCTAAGTAAAAACTACTTTACGCACGCCTGATATTATCTCGAGTACCCTATGGGCCAAAGCCCTTATAGGGTAATTATAAGCCGCTCTTAAATTCCTTCCCTTAGGCTCTGGCATGAGCGTGCTCAGCATGGTCGCTCTTCGGATGGTAACACAGGAGGGTCCACGGAAGTGTTTGAAGATCTACGAGGAATTAAAGAAGAATGACGTGGAAAAGGTCGCAGTGCTTTTGGCGGCTACCTCTACTACAACGCCGACGGCGACGTCGGATACACACGACATGAAATCGCCGGCGAGCAGTAAGTCGGCCAAAAGAAGAATCAGACGGAGAAAACTCAAGGAATCTAGACGAGAGGAAATTAGGGAGACGATGGAGGAGAAGGGCACAAAAGAGTCCTGCGAAGGCGATGACGAGAGCGTCGACGTGGCTCCGTATAACTTGGTGACGCACGCGGACAGACGGACGAGCAAAGACTTTCTAGAGAGATCGCTGATGGCAGCCTTTCTGCTCAAATGTCTGCAGAGAGTCGGTTTTTTCGCAAACCCCACGCCGGACGATGGTACTTATCAGCGGCCACTTTACACCCGTAACATACACCGATTTCTTCTCGTGGGGGCTGTATTTAACTTTCGGAATAATTTACCGAATCGTGAGTAGTCGAGAGAAAGAGGTGAAAAAATGTGCTTGCTCACACGGAGGGTGAATTTTCGATTCAGCAGATTCTCCACGCGGCGTCCGTCCATTCGCGCCGTAATACCGTAATTTTAACAGCGTTCAGTGGAAAGAGTCGCGAAAAGTTTTTGCCGGGAAGCCAAGAATAGGGGGTAAAGAGAGAATAGAGGAATGCACAGAACGCGGGGGAGCTATACTAATATCGGAAACTTTGTTTCTGCGAGTTCGCAGAAGTCCCGGGCGTCGAGGAGATCATCGTAGCCGCCCTGCTGCTAAGGAACCTGCAGCTGCTCCAATTTAACGCCCACGAGTTTTTCGAGACGCGAATGAGTGCGGAGCATCGATTTCGTGGCAGTCGTCCGGTCTACCTCGGCGTGGCGATTTATCCCTCGGTCGCCCGTTTCAATCACGACTGCTATCCCGCAGTGACGAGGTAAGCAAGGGGAAGATAAATACGTTCTTCGGGGAGAATCTCTTTGTGGAAAAAAAATCAAGCTTTTTACGAAGAGAGGTGAGATCTAATGCAATCGTCACGAGCGATTGGTTCGTCGTTGCTCTCTTATGACCAAAGATAATATCTTCATTGTTTATAGATATCAAAAGTATATATATAATAGTAACTCAATCCCTTGAGTTAAATAATATTTTGTCAAAATGTAAATCAATCCATTTCTGGTGATAAGTTTCAAAATAAACTACGTCCACGTTAATGTACACGGAAAAAAAATTTCCCTACCGTAGCTAATCTTAGTTTGTTAAAATATATCTGCTGCCGTAACTATAAATTTATAAACTACGGCGAAATAATTTGCTGTTATTGCTATAATATAGGTATCATAGCTAAGATGTTAGCTATTATACCTATATTTTGCCTGTCCATATTTTACACCTACCATTTAGTTACCACACGCAATTTTTAGTTATGGCAGCTTTTACTTTCTTTTTTCCGTGTATGCACTAGTAAATAATGAACTAAATTCGACAAGTAAAATAATTTACTAATATTTGATCTAGTAAATAATAAACTAAATTTGTGAGTCAAACTTAATACATTTTTTTTAATTAAATTGTTTAACTCTATTGTTTTTTAATTAAATTAATAGCATATTGAGTGGTAGTACTGGCGACCTAGAATATGATAAAAATGATAGAAATGATAAAAATAACTCAAATAGAAATGATAAAAATAACTCAAATAGAAATGATAAAAATAACTCAAATAGAATATAATTTGACATAATGAATTTAACAGTTTTCTGAAAAAAAACACTTTGTCTTAAGACACGTTCAGCTTTTACACACTATACGCACGTTGTCTTGTCAAACTTCGCGTCCCGGTGAAGTGTATGTACATACATGGCTCGGCCTGATTTGCATATTAATAACGTGGCCGCGTTAAAGAGCAGACCGCGACGTAGATCGACGTGAGAACTAATTAGTATAACCAGACGGTACACAATCGCTGTGTCATCACGTGCAAATTATTAATCGATCCGCGACCGCCCGCAGTCTATTAAACGAAGTTTCTCCGGGACCCTTCAACAACTTCCCGTATTTTGTCGCCGGAAAACTCCTTTGTCTTTTCGCCAAAATTTTCTCATTTTCGTCGAATTTACATGAATCCGCGAGTTTACGGGAAACTCACTAAATTGATAGATAAACAAAATAATCTCTTTTGAATTCGATTTGTTTAAATAAATAATTTTAATGATTACTCAAGAGACAGCTGTTCGTTTCGAAATAATTTATTTAGTGTATCGAATCATTTAAAAGGCGAACGATGCAATCGGAGAATTAATTTCTCCTCCTGGGGATTATATTGATGCTTCTACTACGAATCTATTAACGCTAATTAAGTACGTGAATTTTCGGGCAGCACTAAAGCGCGTCTATGATGACTCCGCGGGTCGCGACCATTATACGCGAAATTACACCAGCGCGCTCATTATTCCGTAATGTCACAAACTCGTCTGCACTACTCGGTACAAGCGGAAATTGTTACTGTTCATGTTATTAACGTCGTCGCTATTGTGATTACGATTATTATTTCATTGCAAAGTGATTGCGCGACGCCCCCTTCCCATTTTTCGATTTATTAACTGGTGTACTTGATAATAATTTCCATGTCGGATAGAGAACGGTTAATAACTTTTAACACAATATTTGGACGCATTTATCATTGTGCACTTGATTAAAATAAAAATATCTAAATAATAATAAAAAGAATCTACACTATGTATTTATACTGAAAAATGTAAAATGTATAAAAGATACAGTGTTAAATTTATAATTTTATAAATTATTCCCCATTTGAGTTATTTTTAATCATTCCTAGTCGCCATTGCTTCTATTTAACATGTTAATTTAACTAAAATAATAAGGTAAATCTCAAGAAATGTATTAATTTCATTCAAATTAAGTTCGTCATGTACTAACAATAAGTACATACGCCATTTATTTTGAAACTAAGCAATTCAACTACAGAAATGGTTTGATTATATGTGGTTGTTTTATTAATCACATGTGATGAATTAAAATAATACATTTCATGTTAAAAATAGCAGAACATTATTTAACTTAAGGAATTGGTTTTAATTTTATCCTTAAATAATCAACAATGTGAGTACATATTAAACAAAAAATATAAAATATTTAGTGTCAAGAAATGTATGTATATACTTTCTAAAATTTTCTTGTAAATATTTAACGCCCTTCGGCAATTTAATATTTGAATTTGATATTTTTAATTTCTTTAGAGTTACTGTCTATGTAGCAAATTTTTTACCTATAATTAATTGATATAGTCATTATATGAAGAACAGAATTCCAAAATGCATTTTGTCCAAAATTCTATTTTTTTAGTTAGAGATGACATAGTGTTCAGTGATGAAAGACTCATATTATAAGCTACTCTGAGATATTCAGAAAGCATTTTTTCATCGTTAATTTATATACAGAAAAAACATAGACATTTCGAAGTGCATTATGTTTTTTAACTAAAGACGAACAAAATGCATTTGTCTAACATTTTTAGCAATTGTTTAGCAATTTTGTTTAATATTTCACATTCTAGTGATTGGCATATTGTTATTTTCTGTAAAGTGCGTAATTTTCTTGAGTGCGGAGTTTCTTACTTTCTCATTTTCTGAAAATTACAAATTTTGGACAAAACGCATTTTGAAAGTCTACTCCTCATATATCGATTTGTACTTACGATAGTGCATATATTTTCATTATGGCGTTAATTAACGGGGATAAGATTAGAATTCTCCTTTTGTCGAATCGCAGATACTTCATTGGGCGACATATCGTAATAAGAGCGGTACGTGGTTTGCGACCCGGCGACGTTATTGCCGAAAACTACGGACCGATATTCACGAAGAGGACCCTCGCCGAGCGTCAAAGGACACTCGCGGGAAGGTATTGGTTCCGGTGTACGTGTAAGGCCTGTCAGGAGGATTGGCCGCGCTTTGAGAATCTGACGAACGATTCTGTCAGGTTGAGGTAAGTCCATTTAAATTCTCTGAGATCAAGCTCATTAACAAAATAATTTAATTTAATTAAACGAACGATTGTATCGGCGCTTCACTTAAGTCTCTCTTCGGTCGAACGTCTCCATGTCAAGAAATTAACAAAGTAATATCTATTGGAAGTAATGCAAAGAGTTACTCATTAACGACGAACGTCTAGAGATGTACACGCTTTGTTGCCGTATACGTTTTAATTAATACAATTAACAGTTTCTTTCGTTTAACTAAAAATGTCTGACTTGAATGTCCCGAAAAAATCGAGAGACATAATGGTGGTAAACCATAGTAACGAGTAAAAGCATAAGAATATCAGACGAAAGGAATAACAAGCAACCGAAAGAGAAAAAGGGAGTGAATAAGTGAGAGGGGAAAGAAAAGAGGGAGGATGATGGAGAGTGAGAGAGAGTTAGAGATGTTTTTCGAGATCGTTAAAAACCGCAACTCCTGATGAGGCGAGTTCCTCAAAGGAAAGAAGCGCTTGTACCGTAAGGATGCTCCTGTCGTCAAAGGTACTTCTGTTCGTCGTCGTAAGATTCTTATACCAACTCCAACGACACGGCCAGGTGCTTTTATCAGTTTCGCGGTAATTTTCTGGGTAGTAGCACCACTACTCGTTACGTTGCGTCTTTTACGTCAACAAAACGGGGCGCCGCTTCGCTGACGGTGTATGTGTATTTCTCTTAGAGAAATAAACCACGGAGTTCTTCTTTGAGGACGTCGGACAAAAGTTCAATTACGAGTAATTATTTCATCATCACGCTAACGCAAATGTAATTCTTTTAAGTTGCGTGTCTTCGTTGAACGTTTCAGCAGTTCCCTCTTTAGGATTTATAATAATATAAATACCGACTAAAACATTTTTACGTTTCGCATTTTTTACGATGCTATACTCTTAATTACATTCGTACGAAGTATTAACGAATCGAATAGAGAATAAGAGCACGTTCTGTACATAATCTCAAACGGAGTTTGCTTCATTCTAATTTTTTGTGATTATTTATGAACATACACAAATGATATGAGAAATGGAAGAATTGCAATAAAAGATAATTTTCTTTCATTGAGAAGAAAGAAATCGATTCTCCAAATTGTTATTAAAAGGATCATGATTATAGAATTTTTCTATGAGTTAAAGATACTAATAAGACTATTATAATTTACATTATCTTTTTTAACGTCTTAAAATTGATATTACTTTTGATAAAGGGATAATTTTGGAGATTAATTACACAATGAAAGATACGTCAAATTTTTTCTAACATAAATTATAATTCGATTTGATTTCGATTTGATTTTTATCGATAATACTGTAATAAAATTTTTGGTGACAAGAGAGACTCTAAAATATTCTTTTGACGTTTTTCTTCTCGAGGTGTCCTACGGTAGGATGTGGCGGACTGCATTCGCGATCCCGGCAGGGTAAGCCGATAAAATGCCCAGACTGTCAAAAGAAAATCTGGTTGGAGGATCGACTCGCGTGTCTACGGGAGTGCGAGGCTCTCTACGAACGTGGATTGGCCAGTATGGAAAACGAAAGGGTCGATGAGGCGATCGAGACATTCTGCGAAGCCCTGAAGAGATTTCACCAAGTCGCCTGTCCACCGCATCGGGACACACACCTGGCCGAAATTGCTTTAAACTCCTGTCTGGCTGACTACGGGAATACTTGGCGACTGGCGGCGCTTTGAAGAGCGCGTAGATGGAGAAGGAAACTGACTTGAACGGATCCTGTAACCACGCGGATGACCGTGGCGGCAGTTCTCGAAGATGTCCTTCGAATAAAAGAAGAACGCGTTTGATCATAGGTCGTGGACGTTGGTCGAGCCAATTTGGTTACCGCACACTACGACATGCTGAGACACATACCCGTCCAATATTCTGTATCTTGTTTCAGACAAAAATTTATTGTTTAGTATCGTTTTTATCTTAATCGGTATTCGTAGGTCCAGTGAACTTGAATATTTTTTTCAATCACATAATGAAAAATTATTTATAATGAATGTTTTTCACAACTTTACATAATTTTTATTAAATAAAACAACTATTGTCTAAGATGATACATACAAAAAGGACAGAAGAATGATATCAATTAACAGATCATAGTTTCATTTGAATCTCTTGATAATTGTTTTTGGGTTTTTAATTTTTCAATAATTTTAAAGATTACGAAATCATATTCTATATCAATCCAGTTTTTCAACTGGTTTAAGATCTTTTTAAATGGAGATATCCCGAGCAGAAATTGAATCAGGGTGCGAATAAAGCCCCTAATAGGTTATCTCTGATCCCTAACAGGGGCCGTATTAGGAATGTAACGCAATATTCTGATAGTAACCTGACAGACCCAATCAGGTTCTTATCACAGAGCCTATTCAGGCCCTTATCAGAATTCCATATTAAGACCTGATTTTACACTAGTGTTAACCTGCTAATGGCCTGATTCAATTTTTGCATATTATACAGAGTATCTAACAATTAATAATAAAACTCATACGAGAGTTCTATCATTAATTATCAGATACCCTGTATAATATGCAAAAATTGAATCAAGTCATTAGCAGGTTAACTCGTTCGTTTAATTAATCATTTATTCTTTTCGGCACGTTCGTGGCGCAATTATCACTTGTGCAATTTAGCACTCGTGACACTCTAGTGTAAAATCAGGTCTTAATATCAGGAATCCTAATAGAAAAGTCCTCTACCATTTTGCAATTTTCGCAATGATTAATGAAATATTAATTTCTAAAGATCGCCAAATAAGCGCGTATTCATCCGTTCGATCGTTAATTATTGCGAAAATTGCAAAATGGTAGAAGACTTATATTAGTTTAGTTTGTTAAACTTGCACATGAGCGATAGTTAACCAGATATTAATTAATAAAGATTTCAGAATGAGAGAGAGAGAGAGAGAGAGAGAGAATGTCCGCCTGTTGGTAAACGGAAAATGATAGATGACTTATCATAGAATAAGTCGGAGTGGATTCCGATCGAAATTATTCAATTATTTCCTAGATTTTTATTGTGTTTTCTAGGGAAAACGGAATAATTCCAATTGGAATTTATTCCGACTTGTTCCACGATAGGTGCCCAGTTTAAGCTTTTCTGTCTCTATGTAAAAGTTTTGTCAGTAATTGTCAGACACCCTGTATAAATCAAGTGGGATCTTTACTATCGTACAATAATTGCTGAATACAATAATTAACCTAAATAACTAGCTAAAGGAACAAACTATATATACAATATTTTTATTTATTTTTCTCTCCTTTCTCTTTCCGTCCAGTCTTTAGCATTGTTAATGACACTTCCTAGCATCTGATATAAGTTATAATCCCTTACTTCAGTTGACTTGTGAGTTTTGTAATCATTTATAATAGCATCTGAAATAAGTTATAAAATAGTTACGTATTACCGTACCAATTGCTGCGGAAAGTTTTCAGAAATGTTTCAACTTTTTACACTTCATGTGCAACAATTCTGTAAGGATTCTGCAATATGCACATGAAACGTTGTAACATAAAGAATTCTGCAATATTTCAAAAAGATTTTAGCTATTTCTGTAACTTTTTGGTAATATTTAAAAAAGATTGCAAATTTTTTCTGTAAAATTTCAGCAACCTTTCAACTGTATATACATTAAAACTAATAAAGCGATAAAAAATTATTTTTAATCATTTATTACAAATTGTTTATTAATGTACATTTAATACAATGAGAATACTGCCCTGATAACAAAGCCTGTGGAAACAGATTTTGAACAGAGCCTGCTACCAATTTTTGATTGCAGAAAGGCAACAAATTGTACACAGAGTTTTATATTATTTGACATTGTCAGTAAATTGCTGTCAGAATTGTCAGAAATATGACAAAGACATGCTAGCAGATTGGTAGCAGAAACCAAACAAAGTCCTACATAACGGCAGATTGAGAGCAAATTGAGAACAGAACTTGATTCGAACTCTGCTCGATTTCTGCTATCAATCTGCTGGCATAGCCTGTCAGCAGACTTTATCGATAAATCCATAGTCAAATGCGGACACAGATGGCTATGGTTTTGTAGTAAAAATCTAATCGAGTTTGCTATCAATTTGACCTCAACATTTTGCTATCAGAGTGCATATAACCTATTCACTTAGTTATCTGTACTTATTTTAATGTGCAGTAAAGTTCTAAATAATGTCACACGTTTTATGAATTGTATCACTATTCTTTCTTTCATCGTCCGTAGGCTTGATGCTGAGATCTTCCTATCGGTCATCGAATTGTGCACGAGACAAAAGCTGCGCAGAAAAACATTGCGCAACTTTTTTCAGTCACAATGTCTTAAATTTCCGTTTAGTAATTTTAAGGAAGTACTTGTAATTATAAGATACAGTATCAGAATTTTAAGGAAAATTTAGTAAATTTGCTTTAAATGTTACTAACTTTCGTTTTCAGTACACTAAATTAGTAAAATTAAGTTACTTCAATATTTTTAATCTGACGGAATTTTCCAAACATCTCTAACAGTGCAGTTACAATAAGTAACTAATTATTTTCCAATCCTGAATTTTAATTTATTACATAAATTTTACGTAAATAATAACAAACATACTATATATATTTTTATATTCGTTGGCAATTACATTTATCAAAATTACTTTATTGCAAGATTTAATCTATATTGAGAAAAAAGTAATCTATGTTAAGAGAAATAATTAAATTATTAACATCTTTCTAAAATATTTATTAGCAATATATATATAAAATTATTATTCTAGTTCTGTTTATAATTGTGCTTTAAGATTAACAATAATTTTGGCGCGCGGCTTACAGAATTGTATATTCAATATATTGAATATAAAATGGTCTTAATTCTAATCTTCTTAAAGTTAATCTTAATGCTTAAATGTTTCATTGAATTTATATACATATATTATATATGTATTATATATAAATTCATTAAAACATTTAAGCATTAAGATTCACTTTAAGAAAATTGAGACCGTTTTATGTGATTCACTTTAAGAAAATTAAGACCGTTTTATGTGAGTACATTACCTAAATACGAGCAATGTCACTTGACAGTCAAAATTAAATGTTGAACTAATACGTATACATATTCTTGTTTAAATGAATTTATTTCAGAAATATAATTGCGCGCCATTATTGTCGGACTTTCAACGCAATCCATTTGGAACATTAATAATCCCCCCAAATTTAATCTTTAAAAAACTAATAAATTTATTGCAAAAAATATTAAGATTCCCTTTGATCAGAGAGAAAATAGGATTATTTCTTTTAATTAATTTATTCTCATTCTTCAGGAAAACATATTAGACCTTATTAAATCATATCAGACCTTATTCTTATCTGGCTGATCGCGAGGGGGAAGCCACTTAATGTAATCGTGGGATAGGGTCCTCGAAATCATTATAAAATTCATATGAAATCTCTATGTATAATTCGATAATTACATATGCAACCACGAGAAATCATTGTATAATATTAAATAAAATCGTATATTTTACCAAATTACTTCATATGTGGTGGAAAAAATTATTTGTAATCAGATGAAATCATATGAAATCATGTAATCTATGGAACAATATTTCAGCTAGTGGTTACCCTCTCGGCTGATCGTCCTAATCGCGCATCAGGCACGTCTAATCGAATTTCTGCTCAAGATGACTGACCACCTCATGGGGCTAAAAGTACACGATATAGATTAAGCACATTGTTATTTATATTTAATCTTTTTAATATTAGCTTTTGCTGAAGATTGCTAAAAAGTTAACTAAAATATACGTTATCTTTATGTCATACTTTTAAATATATTTTAAATTTGGATAAAGTGCTTTTTATATAATTAATTAATAAAATGCAAAACTTACAACATTAATTGATATATTTAAAATTCTTGTCTCGGAAATTTGTTTATTATTGTTAATACAGGGTCCGGCAAAATGATCTCCCACATTTTGCACCGCTACTGTGCCCGAATCATTGAAGAGAGGGGGAGCTTAGCGTAGTCGGTTGGTAGCTCACGCCTTGCCATTTCAGTTGTCGTCATGAATTGGACGGGTGAGCATCGTGCCTTCGTTATCGAAACATTTTTGAAAAGTAACGAATCTGTGATTACGACGCAAAGAACTTTTCGTACTCACTTCGCGCTTGGTAGACATGCTCCAGTTCCAGATCGCAAAACAATACTGTTGTGGGTTTCAAATTTTAGAGCTACAGGTTCAGCCTTAAAAAGAATACAGCCTTAAAAAGAAATTACAGGAATATCGCCTCAAATTACTGCTCGAGTGATGGAAACTTTCAGAAATCAGCTTCGAATGTGTATCGAAAAAAATGGTCGCCACTTGGACTCTGTAATTTTCAAAACTTAATAAAAACAAATGGCATAGCATACATTTTCAGTTAATAAAAATAAAATCTAAATAGCATTTATAATGGCGTTTTTATTAAAGATTAAAATGTGGGAGATCATTTTGCCGGACCCTGTATTTGCATAATTTTAAGTTGCATAATCTTATTCCTCGAATTTTAACTTTTAAAATGAAAACAATTATTTTATTACGTTAAAGATGCATTAATTTGAAGTACACTGGAGCCGCAAATACCAATTAAGGAAATTTTAGAGTGAATACCGATTAGAGTAAGAGTGTAGTAAATTTACATGTTTTTCCTCTAACTTTAGCATTGATTGTCTTAAAGAAACTGAATTAAGATAATGTGCTGAAAGTGTTAATAAAATTTGAGCAATACATTTTTTTTATCTTTGTAAAACTGATTAATAAATAATATTCCAATTAATGAATAATTCTTCCGATTTAGATTATTAAAAACCATTGTGTACTTGAAATTTTTTCTGTGGCAATTCTTTCTCAGATTACTACAATTTAGATAGAACTTCGCGCGAGAGAAGAACGTTATCTTTATTGCCTTTATAAAAT